TTGCCATTTAGTCAGATTTGATTTTAGAGCTATGGTAAAAAGGACCAAATCGACTTAAAAAAAATTCGGTCTATCCGAATTTGGTATTCAAAACACCTGTTGTCTGATTGAAATCAGTTCAACAAGATGCCTTTTATGATGATATACGCCTTCTGTCAGCGATGAAATTATGCAGCCTTCCTCTTCATAGACTAAGCCCCTTCCTTGATTCCTCGGGTATTCTACGAGTAGGCGGACGCATCATGCATGCATCACTTCCATACAACCAGAAGCATCCAACTTTAATTCCAAAACGGCATCCATTCACGGTATTACTTATTCATCACTACCACAAAGAAAACCATCACCCCGGAGCCACTACACTTCAACAATTAATTCAACAACAATTTTGGATCATGTCAGTACGATCGCAATTGCGTTTCTGTATTCCTTGCTATCGAATACGTCCCAAAGCCGTTCAACCAGTAATGGGAAACCTGCCAAAGTACCGATTGCAGCAGATTAAGCCATTTCATCAAACAGGTATAGATTATGCAGGCCCAATTAGTTTAAAGGAACTCTCGTAACTCTCAGATCAAGCAGGCATATATTTGCTTATTTGTGTGTATGAGTACAAGGGCTCTGCATATTGAGGTTGCGTCCGATTTAACAACCGAAACGTTCCTTATGGCATTCACCCGTTTCGCTGCTCGCCGAGGACCAATCCAGGCAATATACAGTGATTGTGGTACCAATTTTGTGGGAGCTTCTCGACTGTTCAAATCAGTTGATGAATATCAAAACGCTATAACCAATCATCTTGCCACACATCATATTCAATGGCACTTCAATCCACCATCAGCTCCACACTTCGGAGGTTTATGGGAAGCAGGTGTCAAATCCGTAAAATAACTGTTATACCGATCCATAGGAAACCACCGATTGACCAGCTAAAAATTAAGTACGTATCTAACGCGAATCGAGGCAACTCTAAATTCCAGACCGTTGGGTGCGCTGAGCAACGATCCCGCGGATTTCAACGTACTAACGCCTAACCATTTTTTGACCCTGGAACCCAGTACTACTATCCCAGATCCAGATCTGTCAACCCTTTCACTATCTAAGATGCAGCGCTGGCGGCTCATTCGAGATATCCATCAACATTTCTGGAGTAAGTGGAAAAATGACTTTATTAATACTTTGCAACAACGCTTAAAATGGACAAAGTCCAATGGAACCTTGCATCAAGATGATCTAGTTCTCATCAAGGAACCAACCAACTCACTTCAATGGAGACTTGGTCGAGTCATGCAACTTCACCCAGGAACCGATGGAATAAACCGTGTTGCTACTGTCAAAACCGCTATTGGATCATTCAAACGTCCCACCAACAAGCTCTGTCCACTTCCACAACTTTAAAGGCGGATGCCTTTAAGGTGGGCAGTATGTTTATGCAATAATTACGTAACATGTGCGGACGCTCGGTATCTTATCTTATTAAGATTACTATTCATATTATTATTATTATTTAAATGAGATATCGAGTTTGTTCGCGCATGTTACGTAGTTAATTAATGTATTATTTTTATTTTAATTGTCACCGAATTTCGGATTGTCGTCACTAGGCTAAATCCATCGCGCCAACGGACGCCGTTATCGGTGCACCTACCTATAAAAGGCACAGTGGCGTGATGGAAAATCACCATTTACTGTCTCTCCGGTGTTGTAGTAAGACCTTCCCAGGCATACTTACACAACATTGGAAGACAGTATCACCCCGACCTCGACGAACGATATATTTATGTTGGTCAGTGGTGTAATAGTCGGAGTTATTCTGGCATTGCATCGATCAGCATAACCATCGGTTTATGGGGCAATAGTCAGAGTAATTCCGGCATTGCACCGACTGAAGTATCGTTCGTTCGAGGTCCTTATTCCCGTCGATGCGACCTATCCGTTATTCGTATAAGCTCTCCGAGCACAAATATATTATTCGTGTCATTAAAGCTCTCCAAGCACAATTCTAATTATAATAAAAACACACTCTTTTCTTCATCATTAGTGTTTCTTTTTTTTTTGTGCGTTTTTCCGAACGTTACACTGATGAATATGTAAAATATGGATTTTCATGTAGATAAGATTTTGAATATTCTAAACCTAAGTGTATTGTGTGTGGTGAAGTGTTGTTGAATAACTGCATGAAACCTTCTCTGTTCTTAAGACATTTAGAAACAAAACATGCCGATTATAAAAATAAAGAATGTGATTTTTTTTAAACGTTTAGCAAGAAATAATGATAATACATTGATTTTGACATCATACATAAAGCCAGCTAATAAAGGTAACCAAAACGCGATTGAAGCTATTGCAAAATGTAGTAAGAATCATACAATAGCTGAAAATTTGATTTTTCCTTGTATAAAAAATACCGTTCACTATATTTGGAGAAGAGAACGTAAAAAAGATAACAAGTATTCCTCTTTCAAATAATACAATTTCTTGTCGAATTCAGGCTATGTCTGAAGATATTGAATTGACAGTAATAGATAGAATAAAAAACAGTAAAATTTTCGCTATTCAAGTTGATGAAAGCACCGATGTTACCAATTTCGCAGTTTTACTTGTTATTGCAAGGTATTTAAATAATAATGAATAATAATGAAGTCAAAGAAAATGTTTTGTTTTGTCATTTATTGTCTGAACGCATAATTGGTGAAGATATATTCAATGCTATTGATTGTTATTTCAAAAAAATGAGTATTAATTGGTCCAATTGTTGTGGACTATGTACCGATGGTGGAAAGTCAATGTCGGGTATATATTTTGGTTATTTTGGTCACGTTACGAAAACAGTTCCTCATATAAACTAGAGTCATTGTAACCAACCTGAGGTATTTGAAATGTTACACAAATTTCTATCTGAAAATAAGCTATTTATGTCTCAGGAAATTAAGAAAAACATAATTGAGTATCTGGAAAGGTTAAAATTATTATTCAAAAAATACTTTTCCAAACCTGAAAAAAAAACAACTGGATTTCAAATCCGTTTAATGAAGAATTTTTTCAAAAAGCTACATCTTTATCGATCGTTGAAAAAGAAAACTTGATAGAACTTTCATGTGATACAACTTTAAAAAGTTAGTTTAAAATAAAACAACTTATTAATTTTTGGGTAAATATTAGAAATTAATATGAGCTCTTTCTGACAAGGCAATTGAGTTCCTATTGTATATATCAATATATAACATGGTTTATTATTATTTTCACAGTGAAAATTAAATTTTTTTTAAGTATATAAATTATTCATCGAAATACAGTAAAACCTCATTAAGACGCTCTCGCTTAATACGCCATCCCGCTTAATACGAGGATTTTTCCCGGTCCCAGGTACTTGTACACTTTTAACATTGAAAAAAACCCGCTTAATAAGCCACCGCATAATACGTAATCCCGCATAATACGCTTTAATTTCTGGCTTCTCAAACATTTTAAAATTAAAAAAAATCCGATTAATACATTCAGCGATAAGAATTTCATTAAAACGTTTATCTGTTATCGATAGAAAAATTGATATTTATTATTAACATTAAAGTTTTAAAACAAAAATACCGTAAGAAATTAGTTCAACGGTATTTACGAGAAATGGAATCTATGATCGATGAAGAAATCCCCAAAATCAATGTTTTAGATGCTATTCATTATGTTTCAATCGCGTGGGATTAGATAAAACCAGAAATAATTAAAAACTGTTTCAACAAAGTCTACTTTGGTAACGTCTCACAAGAAGATCCCCACATTTTGAACTCAGACGAATTTTGGGACTTTGAAGAATCTTATCCAGGCTACACATCCATTGACGACCAATTGATAACGAACGAGGCCCTAGAACTTGAAGAAATTATCAATCAGGTTACAGTTAACGATGAACCAGATGAGCCTAATGAAGATAAGGAAGAATACTTTCCACCACTTCCGTCAATCGCT